GGTTCAACAACAAGGCTGGGGAGCTTGTTTCATACTCCCAGTCCTTGAAATACCTCAAGTCATTATTCAAAAACTCAGATACAGTATCATAGTTTGGTATTTACAGTGAAAACAAGGAATTCTCTGCAAAAATATATTGCCAAATCACTAATAAATCAAAGTGTCTGAGGTATATCTGACATACTGTATCTGTCACAAACCATATCTAGCAGACTATATTTTTGCATGGACCTTTTCGTAATTTAAATTTTGAAGTAAAGAGGCAGCCAGTGTTAGGTGGGGGCCAAAGAGAGATGAATAATGCTTACTTACTAAAAGACAAGAAAGGCCACAAACAAGAGGAGTGGATTTTGGCCTAGCCGGCCCATTATGTGGCTCATCCATACGCTTCTTGAATCAACATGGCTGTGTTGCTTTTCCAGAAACCCTTAATGTAAAGAGCTATTTCCCTTGCTCAGTTTTTAAAGTACTTAGTTTCCACTTGTGTGTTCTGGTTTCTGTTTCTCTATTAATTCCGAAGAAGTCCACTGGACTGACTTTGTTAACACCTTTGAAGATTTTGAGTACTTCAATCATGTCCTTTTGTAATCTTCTCTGTGCAAGATTAAAAAGTTTCAGTTCTTGTATTCTGGTTGCTCTTTTCTGAACTCATGCCAGAGCTGCAATACATTGCCTGTATTTTGGTGACCAAAATTTAACGTAACATTCTAAACGCCTAATGCGTTTAAATTAAGTTTTGGGATATCTGTTTTTTAAATATGTATTGTAACATTTTTTGCCGCCTTAACACATTGCCTAGAAGATAAAGATAACGTATCTTTTTGTTTTCTTTTGCAGATTCTGTAGTGTTTACTACTATAGAGTTATACAGTATCTGCCAACTTCACTATAGATTATATAAATTAGGAAGAGCAGTGATAAGACATCTGTGGTACAAATTATATCACCTAAGCTTAGGTTAGTCTGTAATTACAGACTTAAGTCTGTAATCAAATTATATTGAAAACCTAGTGATATCACTTTAAGAATCCTTCTCTTTGATAATGAACTTTACAGTATATACAAAATACATCATGATCATTTCATTTAACAATTTTTCTGTTTATTAAAACCTCTTTAGCGAGTTAGTTAAGCAAGATCTACATTTTCCAATGTTACTGTCACTCAGAAGCTTCAGTGATGATCCTCAAATTCAATTTTAATGATCGTTTCCATAACTTTACATGCAATAAAAGTAAGACATAGGTGTATTAACACAGCAAGTAGGACAGTATGGTGAGCAATCTCCAATACACATGACAGAAACAAACTCTAGCAGCAGAGGGGGTGACCCATATGCTGACAGTGAATTCTGAGGAATATTTTTAGTCATGCAACGACCCTATCTACTGAGAGTCAAGAAACTGCTTTTAGATGCAAACAGGGAATCCACTCATTTCAAGTTTGCACCACCACAGACCTCTTCAAAAGTTACTTCAGGAGATGCCCCAAAACTTTAAGTCACAATTTCAAAAGAAGCAGTATGAGTATTTACCGCGACCCAGTTCTGAGACTGACTGACTGACTGTGCCGCAGGGCATCAGCGTATTTTTTAATAAAATTCTGTTTGATCTGGATTCAGGTTCAGGTTGAAGATTGCCCTTACTATATCACTGAACCACCTTTCTCATATGCAGAATTCGACATTTGGACTTAATACAAGCATGTGTTCTCTTCTGTGTATAACCCACACAACATTCTAGGCCAAGTTGGATAGCTCCCCTACACTGGTGAGAAAGAAACAACAAAGAAGCCTTTACACTATACAAGACAGATGGATAAGTGGTAAAACAGTCCAACCAGATGATAAACATTATAAACTATGTACTGAAGGAGGACCAATAACACTGGACCACATATTTTTCTCTTTACAGTGCAGAAAGATCATGCGTAATACTGGATCACACTGTGCCACTGCGGTGGCAGAAAAAAGAACTACAGTTGTGCACAACATAGTTGCATAAGCCTGGTGGCACACAACAGTATTTAAAGGAAACCTGTCATGGGTGGTTCCTGGTTAGAATTCACAGCACTGTTAAGGGAAGGGTATCATTAAAGAGAAGCAGCCGACAAAAGATTTTACTTTTAGCCTCTGTGAACTTCACAAAGTCCCATGTGCTTGTCTGAAGGTTATTTTACACATGGAACTTCTGATTCCATCTGACAGGCAATTGAGCGCTAAATCAGTACCATACCTTACGAATGCCCTTCCAGACTTTTTTTTTCAAGTTTTAAGGTGGTCTTTGTCTCAACTATTTGGCAGGCCCCTTCCATATATATATATAAAAAAACATACAACATAACACTTCTTTCTAAAACGTTTGAAAAATAAACGTGTGTCCATTTATAGGAAAAGGTTAAACAACACTGAATCTGCTGATGCTGTAATTGCAACCTATGTACAAAATGTTGTACAAACAGATGAACAGCTATCACATCCCATTATTGATATTATTTTAGAAATGATGTACTTTAGCTGTAGCAAAAAGAAGTTGCCCTCTTGAAAATATTCATGTAGTCATGCCAGTGACAATTTCAGAAATTGAGAATTTAGTCTATCATATTCATAAGATTTCCAGGATGCACATCAGATGCTATCTTGTATAGCAATTTTTTTTTGCTCATTCCAACGATTTCTGCAGTTGGAGTAGAAAAGGTTCACTTACAGTATATGTAACATTTGTGGTGTTTTACAGCAGCCACTATTAGCTTCGAGTCCTTAAATAATTGTGTAAAGTTGTGTGGTGCATTTAAGAACCAAATGAAGAACTGAGAAAAATAATAATGTTTTTGTTATTATTTACTGAAAAACGTGCATTAAGGTCTTCACAAAGTGTCAAAATACAAGGGAAATTAGAACTGATGTCTAAACATTTCCATGAAAGGACACAAAGAGAACATTAAGAGGAGTTAATATCTAAGAGTTTAATAGTTTAAGACACTGGACTAACCACAAATCTACCTATAGGTTATCTGCAACCATATAGATAACAATGAAGTTGCAGAAGTATTTATATCTTGAGCCTTATAAAATACTGAATTCAATACACTTCAAATTAAGTTAAAATCCCGTTTGCTAGAAGACATATCAGAGCCAAATGTTTAATGAATGAAATAATGGCATTGTTATAGATATAGGATGCCAATCCTTCGGTCTGCAACTGAATTTCTTTTAAATGAATATTATTTTATCATCAAGTTAAAACAAACTGGTTTGAACATTTCACTTTAATTGATTCTCTTGTAGTCTATTTGTAATGCGAATGTAGAAGTAGGGGCAAGCAAAAACCAGGAACATATGCAGAAAATACAAAACATACGTGATTTATTTCACAAAAGAAAATGACAAAATGGGTCTGATTAAAGCAGGTTTGAGCCAACTTCATGAAAAGAATGTTAAATTATTTTCTTTGTCTAGTTTTCCACCAGGACTTGAACTTGTAATACGCAGAACTTGCAAATTTCACTCACTAACATGGAGCTCCACCTTGTGGCCACCCACATCACTACACAAGAAATGCAACAGTAAAAACACAGCTGGTGAAACTGTGTAACAAGGGGGGCTTATTTTAATTGCATGTCATTTTGATATGTTACATAAAGTCGATATAGATTATACCGTATGCTCACTGGCACATGTTAAATAGTACAAAATAGTACAATCTATGTATTAACTTAAATTATGCTAAACCATTTTTTCTCATATCTTTACATATAAGGTGCCTAGGAAATTAACTGGTTTTCAGACTCCAGTGATCCATGGACCTCATTCTCCAGTAGAGAATGACCTAAGCTTCAAGGAGGTTTGGACCATGTCCTTCCATACTGTACATACAACCCATCACGATGTCACACTGCCAATAAATAGTGCCTTCTAGTGTGGACCATTATGCACAAGAATGTGCTTCCCCTTTTCTTATCTATACTGCAGATCCAAACTACAGTTTTCACAATGCAGTTGCAGAAGTAAACTGACCTGTGTTTGATGGGTTGTGCACACTACTTCATGGACAGAAAGGTAGATATGGTATCATTGCCTTTCATTTTATTCCTTGACTTCACAACCATCCTAACCATTCCCTAATAAGGGGAAAAAAAGCATTCTAAGGATTTAGGGAATGAAATCAGATATACAAAGACTCGGGATGAGCATTTCCTCTTATGTAGCTCATTTGCTTTCACTCTGCATTGTCAAGTTCCCATTAATGCCATATTTTAGGCAGCTTTTCCAGCTGTGGCATTTAAAAAAAATCAACTTTTGCAATTCCTTCCATATGTACCCCTAGATAAAACTGTAACATTGAACAGCTTTTATGAGCAGCCTTAAGTAATTGTAACTAATTTACAAGACATCTGAAATGCCGTGAAAAATGAATGGGGCCACAGACACAGATGAGAAAGTGCAGTTAATTGGGTAGCATATGCAATTTGTGCCAACAGCTTGTTAAATGATGCAGATGATGAAAAATGAGCAAGGACATCTGAGAATCCTGCAGCTTCTTGGAGTGCAACACAAAGCTGTGCTCCCTTAACACTTTCTGCTATTTAAGAGAAGTAGCCCCACCTACAAATCAAAATACATCTAACAAGCTGCAACTGCCAAAGTGCATACTGACACAGCACATACTGTATATGGTGATTTTTCCCCAAATGCAAACTGTCAGCAATTAAAATGCCAAAAAGTCTAAACTCTAGTGGTACTATTGCTTAAAATAATTGCACAACAGCAGGGCTACTGTACAATTAACATGTTTCTGAATAAAGATTAAGTATGCATGAGCCTTTGATGCCTTTGAAGCACCAGAGAGACACCTAGAAATGAACTTCAGACGTTTTGAAAATACTTGGAATTTACAGCAGTCTCTCCTTTGAAATGGGCATTTAAAGTGCTGTCTGTGATTCTTGTGCTGACGGCATCTCGTTTTCTCAGGACATTTTGATCAATATGAAAACTGCTTCACCTGTTTCCACCTTCGAATGGTCAGTTCTTTCGGTCACCTTCTCCTGACTGATGAGGTAGTCCACAATTCGCACCCCAATTGGTGGTTCTGTGTGATTCCATTCCATGATAACCAATGAGCTGCTAGGCTCGTATGTATGTGATAATTTTAAGCTGGAATGAAAACAGGAAACAGAAGTACTTAAACATAAGATATGTACTATGAAGACGTAAATTCTGTAAAATGCATAGAGACACAGGATTGAGCAAAAATGTAATCATTGGTATAGTCAGTCCATTGTTTCATGCAGGATGAACGTTATACATTTAGAATAATTCTAAACTACCAATACACGATCCTTCGAAGGTGTCGGGACACTTTATTTTTGTTTTACAATAGAGCAAATTCTATTTGTGATCATGGGATTGATATGAATGATTGTGCCACATAATATACTGTAGGTTTTATTTTCAGGTAATTCCATGCATAGTGTTAATCATACTCGAACAAAAACATAATTTGTGTTCAACCCAGTGATTTCAAGTGACCATACAGTAGGTTTTGGGACGCATTCATTTAAAGTAAATTTTAACATTCAATCCTCCATGAAGTGTGTTTTTCAGTTCATGTCCCTTTAATGCAATAATAGCATGAAGTTTGTGATTGACTGAGCTCACCAAACTTTTTATATAATCATTTGAGATGCTTTGCTGCAGCCACTGAGCTCTTATCTATTCTTTGGGGATTGAGTAATGACTTCAATTTCTTCAGAATGTAAAATGCATGCTCAATTGAATTTAAATCTGTAGATTCTGGACATTTTTCTCTTTTTTCTCCTGATGAACTCTTTTATCTATAGTTGCACTGGCAGTACTGTATGTCTTGGGTCATTGTTTTGCTGCATAGTAGAGCAGCGCCCAATATATGTATAGCATCTGTAGTTTGTTTATTTTTCCACACTAACTTTTACACCACTATTGTTAAGATTTAATGTAATTTCATCTGTCTATAAACACTGTTCCAAAACTATCCTGTCCCATCTATATCCCAGCAAATTCTAATCTGCACTTCCTGGGCTTGGTGCATATGAGAAATTTTCATCTTGCAGTATATGCCTTGTAATTCTGCCACTATTCTGCTATTTTGATAACCTTGTCCCTGTACTCTGGAGGCTGTTGGTTGTTTCACAGCATTTCTTTTAGGATTTTCCTAGACAAGCCAGATCATTTTTCCATTATTAACTGCAGAAGCTAACAGTGAAGTAAAATTGGAACAGGTTTACAGGATGTACACAGCTCTTTTGTGAAAACCTAATGATCAAACAATAAACACCTGAGGCACCTGTCAGCGAATTGTTCAAATAATTGTTCTCCTTCAAAATAAAGAGGTTCAACACTTACAAATTTGTTTAATTTGACCTAAGTGGATAAAATTGAATTAACTTTAACTTTAATGATACGTTACTTAGTTCTCACACCGTTCATTCATGTTTTTTCACTGGAAATGATTATTATTAGAGTTCACAGTGAAAATCCCTATTTAGACTTCACTGTCACAATACTTTTGTAGGGCAGTGTAATTTCACCACATATCATTTTTTGTAATAGCTACTGTAGGTTTTACACAAGTGTAATCCTGTTTTAAGTTGTCATCTGTTCTGTGTTCTTCTTTCCAAAAAAATTAAAAATGTATTACAGAAATATTAAAACTTAATAACTTACACTATGTGTGATGAGACTGACCCAGAAATCATCACAAAGCAAATTGAGATGTTGTTCCTAAACCCCTGTTCTTCTTTCAGCTCTTTCAATACGCAGTGGTAACAGAGGACGTTCGAGCTACATGTTCTAACTTCAATTAATTTTTCTGCCAGAGGAATTAACACTTCCTGATCGCTCTCTGAGAAAAGTGTGATAAGCTTTCATGAGGTTTACACAGAATCTCTTCTTTACAGTAGCTCAGTTTAATTCAGAAACATATACTGTAGTTCATTCAATGTAATAACTCAATATAATATTAATTAAAATCACTGTATATTTCATAATTAGTTATAATACTGTACATTTTAATTCATATAAACACATGTCAAGCTCTTTAGAAAAAAACAAAACAACACAAAAGATATCCAAAATCTGAAAGGATATATGAGCTTGTAAACGTTTCCAAACCACATACTATTACTCTACACTTTATATGTCATATTATACATTTTTAATAAAAATAATAATTCATTTTAGGTTCTTGTGTACTGTAATTGTACAATAAAATTAACTGAACTTCTGAAAATGTCTTAATTATTGTCTGCTAGCTCCCCAAGAGGAATCTGATTTTTGAAAAAACCTGCATTTCTGCACCCCAGTGCTACAGTACCTACATGGGCTGTGGAAGAGGGGCACAGGTAGGCAATCCGTCTTCTCCGAAGGCACTTGAATCACATCTGCACCAGTCGTCAATGACATCACCACTTCCTGAGCACCACAGCATGCTCATCATAGCTTCTTGCAGAGACTGGGGAGAAATATATTAAAAGGTGCTCAATACATATTCAGCCACCACTTCTGAAAATGTAAAAAAAAAATCAGAGGATGGTGTGGTGGGGTTTAGCTCTGCTGCCTCACAGCTCTTGATTTGATTCAGGCCTGCGGCACCCTCAGAGTGGAGTCTGGCCAGATGGGTTTTTGTCTGGTGCTCTGGTTTCCCCCTACCGTTAAATGAAACCCTGTCTATGATAACAGGGAAGAGTTTGTCCATTTACATGCATGAAAGTTTGTGCTTCGTACTGGAGTGGGGGTGCTGTCCAGGGTGTAGCCTGTCCTGATTCCACTGTCTGCCAGGTTAGGCTGGAGGTGAACCTGAACTGAACTAAGCAGTTATTGAAAACAGCTGGATTAGTTACCTCAAACCAAAATCCCTTTCCTGGTCAACTTACAATATGATAATAAGTAATTCTTATGATTTATTAACAGGTTCATGTACAGTACTGTGTGATTCAAAACCATTCAAGGCATCTTGGAAATAACCTTCGAATGTAATCTACGTTTAGCAGATTTTGCTTGAAAGCAGCACGGTGCTAAATCACAGCAAGCCCACAGGACCAGATGAGGGCAGGTCATTTTAGTCATGGTGAACTGGACCACTGCCACTGTAGCGGAGCTAGTTCGGATACGGTGACGTCGGCGTCCTCACTGCGCGTAGCAGGGACCTCAGCTGCCTGGGCTGGGGGAAGTCTCCTTTAGCTCACCCGGCTGGTGCCCTGTTGCGTTACGCCAGAGACCTGGGTTCGCGCCCCAGGTGCTGGGGGACGGAACGGGCGGCGGGGGGCACGACACCGCGCGGAACCGCGACGGTCACACCGCCACCAGTGGCAGGCGCGGTGAAGGTCAGCCCTGAGCTGGTCATGTCGCACACCTTGTATGTTTCGTTGTTGGAGACCAGCTCATACAGGGGCACTGCCTTGGTGACCTGGAGGAGGACGGGTTCCACGGTGCGGGCAGGGCCAGTACTCAGCTGGCACAGGTGGCAGGAGGAGGGGCACTGGCCCTGGCTTCTGCAGTCCATCCGCACGCCGGCTGCCATGCGCTTGGCCCCCGAGTCAAGCAGACTGGCGATGTATGCTGGGTAGGTGAGGCTCTTGGGCTCTTTATCCCTTTCTTCGGATTCATCTGAAGGAGAATTGCCTGGGAAAGGACACAGAGGCCGAATTGGAACAACACTCCTTTTTGTTTTACTTTTAATAAGAGAAATATTTCACTGCGAAGCGGGAAGGGTGCCTTTCGTGTTTTGAAAACCAGGACTGTTGAGCAAGGCTTTTAAAAAAAGAAAACTTTCAGTTTTGCAAAGTAAAGCAATAACCTCACAATTGGAAAAGAGTTTAAAATGCAGCCCCGAACACTTTTTTTCTTAAATTTCAAATGCCAGAATACAGACTCAAACTCAAAAGCTCTTGTTATTAAAAAGCAGCATTTTTTTAATAGTATGCCATTATTGGATTTTGCCGAGTCCTACACAAGCAGGAGCAATTTAAAGGCTCAAAAAGCTTGGCTGGGAATACCCTGGTACTGAAGACAGCTTTAATGAAATCAGACATGGCTTTATGAGAAAAGTGTGTAACTTACATAACTGAATTATTAAAATTAACTTCAACGGTCATAATTTTGTGCTGTCTTCTTGATTAAGCAATCTAGTATTTGTTTCAAAATCATATTTCTTAAGAAATTAAGTTCAATTAAAATATTATGTGAAAATTAATCGAATTATATACTGTACATACAGTATACATTTACTAAATCATGAATGTGTACTTGTATGTACTGTACTTGTACAACATCCTCCAAACCAGCTTCCAGGTTATCCAGACCAGTAAAAACAGGACATTATGCTTTTTGGTGTGTACTGCCATTGACTTTGGGACCGTTTTGTGCAATTTCTTTACTGTACCTCACTATTCCCTGCACACTTTTCAGGAAAGAGAACAAGTTAAATATGAAATATAGGTGATTACTATAGGTTGCTTGACTAGGCAACTAATTTTGAAATTATCCTGCATATACTGTATAAATAAATTCACTTCAAGAGTAATAAATGATTTAGCTCAAAAACCCTTGCAGAACTCAAACTGCTAAGGTTTCTATTAGTCAATGTTATTTCAGTTTAACAGAATGTAAATATAGTACATGCCTTAATATGCTGTGTCATCCACTGCACTATTTGGTCATCGTGAAATAAGACAGTAACAAAATATCTGTTGTATACTGCCAACCCATGGTCTTCAACAAGCTACAGTTGTTACATGAGCAATGAGGCCTGGTGAATTAGCAGATGTAAAATGCAGTTCAACATTTGGTAGTAGCCTGCAGCCAAATAGCCCTGGTGTCCCGAATGTTATTACCCCTAACTTCTGTGCTTCGGTCGAGAAATTTATTGCTCCAGGCTTGGAAGACAGGGGTTTTAGTGGAATGTGACAGTATTTGACTAAATGTTATGGAAAAAAAATAATGAGGATAAAATATCAGCAATGAACGGCCAAGAGAAAATCTTCTAGTCTTTTAAAATATTTTTATGCACTGGTTTTTTATGCTTGGTCTTCTATGGCCAAATATATTCGATTCTTGCAGATACTGTCAATGAAAAATCTTGTCTCCTGATTGTTACTGCCACTTACTGAAACATTACAGTTTGTATGCTCTTTCTAAGACCCTCAGAATCAAACCCTCTTACCTACAGTATAGGCATAATTACTATGTCATAGTAACATACTTCCATTTTTATTTCTTGTAAAGCAAAGTAAAGCTGATGTCCATTCATACATCAATACCTGCAACACAAAGTGGCATTAAGAAGGTAGCAATGTTAGCTTTTCTAGATTTCACAGTAATATAGTAATATTTCATCTCAACAAAATAATAAACTTTTCACAGTCAGTAAACATGATGGGAGCTGATTCTAAAGATATTATAGGAATGCAATTGTTAATACTTAATTAATAAAAGCTGTTCTATTTGACTACACATGATGGATTTTTAATAAGATATGACTAACATCTTCCAGCATAATGAAACACAGATAAAAGACTTTCATTTTTAACTACCCAGTGTAACATTGCACCCTTCAGTAAAATACTTACAGTACATACTTGCATACAATCCTCAAAAATAAAAATTATTGAAAAATTTCTTTTAAAATATTTTGAAAATCCAAACTAAAACAACTGGTGTATTTACTGTTAAAACATATTGGCAACATTTCCTTGTTATGTGATTTAAAAGTTCAGAAAAAAAAGCATTTGCAGGATGGTACACAGAAGGGAGGTAGGGATTAATTTGCGAGAGATTTCCCCAGTAAATTCTTTTGCTCAATTTTCATTTTAAGCTTAGTTTAGGCTACAGATTGCTTACTATGACTTCTAAGCATTCCTTTTATACTGTGGTATGCCTCTAAATAATTCAAACAATTTATGACTAGCACTTTTATCTACAGCTCTTCTTTCTCTTTTAGATTGAATAATCCGAATCAAGGGAATTGGAGGGTAAATGACTCAGGATGTCTGCATTTCTCTGTGGCCTGATGCAGAACCCTGATTTGGAATAAGTGAGATACACAGAGTACTCAATACTAATTTACTTTGATGCATCTATACAGATTTACATTCAGACAGATTTAAAGCAAACCTAATGCATAACAAGATAATTCTATAAAGACACATTACTCTAAGGGACTAAAGAAAACATCTTTATCAAATTACCTTAATTTTCTATAGAGTATTTGTACAAGAAGCAATTCAGTCCTGTTAAGGATCCCTGTTCATCTAAAACCCTGCTTAACATAAGCGCTTCTTCAGACAAAATGCTCTAATTATTGTGTTTCAGGGCCTTTCCATTCCTGTCAGCCCATTAGTTCAAGTTGCTACAAATCATCTGGTCTCAGTTTTTCAGAACAACTATAGATCTGTTTGATTAAATTGGCAGGATCTGTGATTATGGTACCAGTGCTTTTATATCATCACTAGATGGTGCTAAGACGCCAAGTGCTTTCTTCAGTTTACAATTTGTTTATCCTTTAAAATAATTACCAGATTATTAGGATTAGGCTAGCACCAATATTCGAAGTCTGTACTATCAGCAGAACAAGCTGTTGGAAATGTAAAGAAAGAAGAAAATATAAGCTAGGTAGAAGCCCACCATCACAAATTATTTAATCATTTACTGTACATACAGCAAAGGCAATAAAGTATTACTGTTTTCTTACCAAGTTAACTTGGTACACATGTACTTAACTCTCATCATATCAAACAGTTATAAAGTCTGAAAATTAAGATAACTCAAAATGCTTATCATGCCAAAATGAAATCTGTAATGGAATACAAAGACAATACAGTAGAGTAATCCCTTTTATTTTATTTTGATTATATTAAGATACTCCAACAGTTCAATCTTGATCATAGAAAAAGTATCTGGGATACTGAATCCTGGAAAAACATCTGATTTGTATTGCATTATGTATTTTGTACATACAGTACACAATATTACACATACACAACTGCTATACTGCATATACCATATGTTCAAATTGTTTTGACAGTTTAGAAAAAAAAGACAGTATACTGTATAGGGATTTTCATTTCTAAAAACCAAAATGTTTAACACATTCACGTTTAAGCAGGTTCCTGTGAATACTATAAACAGAAGTGAGACAAAAATGGAATAAAACGACAAAATAAAGCATGTAAATGTGGTGACACTTTGGCTAATAAAGCAATGTGAAGTATTTATTCACTAAGTCCTCCAGCACTTAATCTTTCCGGGACTACGCTTCCAATCTGTTTGCACTTGATTTATTTCCACACTTTCAGCTGCTACCTCCAATGCTAACTGACAGCTCTTTCAGGCTCTAAATAGAAACCTGGACTTGTGGGGGCCGCATCCCAGTCAGGTGAGACATCTGGATTCTGTTTAATTTATTTTATCCCACTTCAAGCGTTTTCTTCCTATCCTACTCCACAAAGAAGAACTCCACCCTGTTCAGAAGCACACGCTGGCTATGGAATTGCTTGACCATGAGCACTGTGATTCTGTCAGTAACATCATGCAAAAAAAACGTGGCCTATTGTACTGTATACGACTGATAAAGTGTTAAAGTAACAAAAGAAACAACAGTGTCCTAGAAAACCCAGAACAGATGCTCAGCTTCTTAGTTATTGGCTTCCAGGTTCTATTAAAGTTTGAGCATGCTTGCATTAAAATAGATAAATACATCTTTTTTTTGCAGAAAGCAGGGGAATTAAAGTGTGGCCTAAATGTCCATGCAAAGACAGCCACGCAAACATCAGATGTTGGCAATGCACCTCTGGTATCTCTGAGAATTAAACTGGATCGATCTACAGCATATTTGTCAGCAAGGCAGCTGCTTTTGAAAGGCTTTACAGTCCCACCCGAGAGATGCAGCAGGCATATTTTTCATAAAAAGATTATTCTGCCATATGTTAATAGTGTATTTCACATACAGTCAATAATGTTTAATGTTTCGACACGCATGCATACAAAATCATCTATCTTGTTTGTTTTGTACAGTTTTATGCAATGTCATTTCAATTCTTATTATTGATAAATTGACTTTTTACCTAATTTATAGTGGGAGATATTTAACTATTTTTTGGAATCATGCATTTAATGCAATGTTCAATGCTGGGACACATACAAGAGGCTACATTTGCTTATTTAGTAGCAATGGTGAAATTAGAGTGCAATCACTACTTTGCTTCACCACCCCCTTGTGATAAATACTTAAATTGCACTGAAGTACCAAATATTTGCAAAAAAAGGTACCTAAGCATTGAAGAAATTTAAAGCACACCTTCAAAGGGACCCTGCAATTTGACGGGCACTTTAGTAATTTTTCTGTGATGCAGGCTTAATTTGTCATATAAGGTAGTCACTGTAGTGAAATTCATGTAATCTGAAATCTAGCATAACTCCCCATATATTTGTCTGTCATAATGTGATGTATTCAATCTAAGAAATGCTTTTCTCTCGTGCAGAGTCAAATTAAGAAATGATGTCCTTGAAATACTGCCTACTGTGACCTTGAAAACGGATAATAATAGAGCCCAGGTCATCACCCCAACTATATGTCACAGTCTGTGGTTCCCATTCTGTCAAACACAAGAATTACTACAGTATGT